TGAGGGTTATATTGGGGTTTATATGTGGGATTATAGGGTACATATTGGGGTTCTATTGGTGGGTAGAAAGGGATTATAGGGTATAATTGTTCGTTATATTGGCTTATACGGGTTACAGGGATAGGTATTGGGGTTAGATAGGGACAACGGAAAACAGAATGGAAACTACGAGGGTGTTCTGCAGTCGTCTACGGAAAGCATATATACAACAGGGTGACATTTGCAAGGCTCAACTAAGCAGGTCTTCTGAAGATTCGGGTGGTTTGCTAACGGGGGATTTGAGATTTGCATTTTTGGGTTTGGCCACATAGTTGTTGGAAGATAGACTAGACAGGGATATGTAAAGGCTGTAGCATTAGCGTTGTGACGACTCCAAAATACCCATAGCAATAGCAGCTTCACCCGTGCTTTGTGGTAAAAGGCCGTCATAGCGATTGCCCTTATGCTCATCTTTTGGGGAAAAAGGCCAGGCCCTGCACCCAGCATTTAGGGTAAAATGGCCTTACGCTGATAAGGGTTTTCAGGGTAGAAGGCCATCAGTACAAGTCTCCGGGAGGTCTAGGTAGGATTCAGGCAAGTCAGGCCGAGCAGCTTTAGCGCATAGAGTGCAGGGTTCGAGCATTGCACGGTGTCGTGTTGCAAGCCAGTTTTCGGAGTTTCCCTGAAACCATGTTAAACCCTGAACCTTCAACACTACACCAACAAACAAATCAACCCTACAGATGCAAAAATGAAAGGGCTAGGGAGCCTCGATCGATGTGACTTCCGCGCAGGCACTCTTGGGGGAATTGGCAGAAATGTTTGAGCATGTGCAGTAGTCAGAAGTCCTTGTATCCTCCTTAATAACCCCTATAATACTCCCCTATATAAAATTCCTTACATGACTCCCTTTCGGAAGTTTAGACTAGAGCTCATGTGGCTACGGCTCAAAATTGTTTTGCTCCTCAACCATCTTGGCTGTGATTCTAGCAGCTTCTTGCAAAAAAGTTCTCGTCTAAGGTTACAAGTAAGGGCCCCTAATATGGGCCCTTAGGCCTGTTGGGGGGACTCTAGGAAACTGGAAGGGCACATATAGGGTATATAGTAGGTATATAAGGATTCCAGCCCATGCTAGGGGCCCATGGTTTCAACCCTAGAGCATGGTCTCCACCCCAGCAAGCAAATTATGGCACTCCTTCACGTTACGTACCCAAATGTCGCCTCTGCTTGAGCTAAATTTCGTACTCGGTATTCAACCCTCAAACAATTCTCAAACTGTCGAGAAAGAAGTTTTTGGTGAGTGCTGTTTATGACCCACACACTTTCAAGTGGGAAGACTTGCCACAACCGGTGGCTTATGATCCACACACTTTCAAACGGGGAGACTTGCTACACCGCTTGAAGCAATCTAAGGACAGGCGTCATGTAATCCCTCCTCCCGAAAGAACCACCCTCCGCACCCCTAACATGAAATACGACAAATTATAAGCAATGTTTGATATGTTGGCGGGCTCATAGAAACTGTCCAGTATTAGCAGGAGAGGATTAGTTAGAGCAGAACTAAATTTTCGTGTGGTCCTAACGCTCATCATGGGTAAAAGTCTTGCCAAAGGAGACATCCGGCCGGGCCTTCCGGTTGAACAGATGGAGTTTACGGCTTTAGGCTCACATCTAAAATCTAGACTCAGCTGTAGCCTCTCACAATTCGACTTGGTAGCATTCAATACAAATCGAAGGCATCCTCTATCACATGTCTCGAAAACGCTCACCTTAAATCTCTATGAAGCAGAAACTTCGAAACAAGGAGACCGCCAACCTGCTTCACCCCCTTTCCCCTCGCAGTACACCCACCCAATATGAACAGGCTCCATTGTGGGATACAGGGGGGGGAGGTAAGCAGGTTGCTTACTAGAGGGACTATCAAGAACAATGGCCGCGCCGTAGCGATCGCAGGAACAGCATCGGCAACACCTAAGGGCAAGGCTTTTGCTTCATGGCAGACCCAAATGAGGGTTTCTTAAAATCAGGGGTACCTTTCGGAGTCCCGATCAGCAGGACGTATTGGGTTCACCCTGTTTATGGAAACTACCAAATACGAGCGCATCAGATGGGTAAATTAGAGGTAGGTAATTTGCTGACAGGCACCACTATGCCGAAACAAAACCTATGATGCTGATCAGTTTCGCTATGAAACCCCGCTCACCTTACCTTGATGCTTAATAGGAGTAAGGGAATATAATACCAATATAATCCCTGTAGAAAATATTCCTTTATTCCCGGCCAAAGAACCACTAAGTTACACCCGCGGGACAGTTTACCCCGTGTTGTCCAGCTTAGGTTTGCATGTTCCTTCCGGTGATAGTGGCCCAAAGCCTGAACCTGAAACAGCACGGAAAGGAAGTGCACGCCTTAGCAAAAGTCAAGACTCCAGCTGCTGGCCATGTTTTGGGGGGTTGGGTATAACTGTTTTCAATTTAAACCACATCACGAAATGTGGTTGTCTCACCAGGTCATGTTGGAACTGGAACGTGAATTTTCAAAAGCTACAAACAATATTTCCCAAAAGATTAATGGGAACGGGTTCCTGTTAGGCCCCAAACCCTAAACCCTAGACCAGGCAAGATACGAGGGGGCAATCTCCACCCTGACGGATCCTTGCTAAGCCTCTTATTGGCAGTAGCTCAGATGTAATGGACATGGAACATCATTGAGGAACCTGCTATGGACAAACGGAACTCCCAAAAGGGACCCTATGTTCAACCCCAAGCCTAAACCCTAAACCTTTACCATCAATGTTGCCTTCACATAAAAATACCTTTAATAGCTCATACAACAAGCCGAGCACGGATTAGAGCACACTTGTAACAGCACAGACCAATGTAGACTCATGATTAATAAAACCCCTCCTTTTAAGGCCCTTGAAATTAGGATCCTTATTATAATTCATAATCCCTATTAAGCAGGGAGAGTTTATTAATCAGGGGTCTGGGTTATGTTGAAAAAGCGTCTAGTGCCAAAAGCCTGGCTCATTGGACTAGGCACCTCGGGTATACTTGATAGTAGGGCTGCGCAAGGATTGTGACGAAGCAGTGCTCTCAACTATGAAGATTGCTACATGCAAGGCCTACTGTTCTGGGAGCCCATCCAGATTTCAAGAAAACTAGCTGTGTCCATAATCCTAGAGCTAAACCCCACTGCGCAGACCCTGAACTCTAAACCCTAAACCCCTAAACTCTAAACCCCTAAACCCTTAACCCTAAAGTCTCTAAACCCTAAACCGTGTCAGGAGGATTGAACTAATCTGGCTGTGGACTCCCCTAGCGCGCCGTCTATCCCACACTTACATACTACTACTGTGCCTAAGTAGGCATATTACGAAACACTGGTGTTGTCTATATGTGTATATATATATATGTAGCAGGAAATGCGTTATGTCCTGATTACGCCCTGACTGCTTTCCACCTAGCACATCTTCTGGCCTTAGGGTCAGGGTTAGGGTATACTACTGATAACGCGGATGGAAGTGATGACTAAGCCTAAACCCTGCACCGGATGGCTCACATTGAAGCTGGTGATCACAGCTGAGGTTGCTGCCGACCATCTCTTCATACAGTGTGTTGAACACCTCGGAAAAAGTGTAAGCGGGGTGTTCCGGAAGCCAGGCCCCCTTTTTGTTTCCCCACAAAAAATATATGAAAACACAGAGCAAAATTAGTGTCTTTTTCGGAGCTCCCCATTTCTGAAACCTCCCCTGTCTTAACATCTGCATCTCACTATATGTCCAGGTTCAAACGGCACGAGAATGGGATCCAGGATTTGAGCTATAGTCTAAACTCCTAGTCTCCCCCTTTATAACCCCTATAACATCCCCCTACATAATCCCCCCAGAAGCTCCCTTTATATAAGGACTTTGGACTGTAGCTCATTTCAAGAACCTGCCACATCCAGCAGGCTGCTCACAACCCCGCCCCTCATAATCAACCTCCCCGCCCCAAACATTCCCAACGTACTACCACCAAAACAAAGGCATGTTAATTGCTAGGGCTAGGGGGGTGCGGGGTGGGATGGGGTTGGGTAGGGGGGGCGGGATACCCTTCCCACGGCTCTCTGACGCGGGCTCGATGAATGCGTTGCAACGACTCTCACGCCCTGTCAACTGCTCCACTAGCAGAAGCAGCATACGTTACTCCAAGCGAGAGAGAGAGAGAGAGAGAGAGACCAGCAACTGCTCCTAAACACTAAAACCTAAATAGTAGTTTCCATTTTCTTTTCCATTATCCTAATATAACCCCAACATAACCCTAACATCCCTAATATTATCCCAACATAAAGCTACTCCATCTTGTGGTTGCCACAGCTGCCTATTTCAAGTGCCGAAATGCTACCCCGTGAACGACAAGCTCAAGGCGCAGAAGCCTCTGGCACGCGTCCTTTTTGAGAGCACTGCACCCTTGTGTAGATGCCTTCTGGGCGTTTCCCAAAATTACGGGACCCCAATATAGACCTCAAAACACTAAAATGGTAGCCCGAATTTTGGGAAACCGTAAACCCTAAACCTCAAATATCCCCTACATAACCCGCCATAACCCCCTTCAAAAATGATTTTGGGAAACACCCTTCTGTCTCAAACGTCCTCAGCGCTCGTTTTAGAGCGCAGACTGCAAAGTCTGAGCACACAGTCGACGCCCTGTAAGGCCGAAATAAGGGAGTTTCCCAAAATTAGAGGTTGTATTTGTTCTATAGGGTTATATATGGGATATTTAGGGTTTAGTGTTTCCGAAAATTAGGGGTACCCTTTTGGGGGTCCCCATAATAAGGATTAAAATATTAGGGTCTATATTGGGGTCCTCCTATTTTGGGAAACTACCATAAACATTGCTGACAGTCGCAGCGCTGTGCCAACTGTAGTTAGACTAACCTCCATCATCCATAGCGCAACTATACAACCAGCACGGACGGCATCGGTTCTATGTACAAGTGTGTACACGTAGTTAAGCGAATTAAAACTGCAATGGTTGCAGCTAGACAGTGATAATGGAAATCTGCTGTGGCTTGCTTTCCCTATGCAAACTGCTGTGTCTCTTTGCATCGCTCTGGCTGCACTGGTGCAGCAAACCTGGCATAACATGGTCAGCAGCGGCAGAGACAGTGGCACTCGGATTTGACCAACTACTCCATCCAGGAAGGCATATGACTTCACTATACACAGCTTGACCGGTGAGCAACATGATGAAACCACCTAGTTGCAGTTTGCTGGAAGATGTCCACTTCTCGCCAAAAGGTGAGTCTGCGTCAACATTATAGTGGACGACGAGACCGAAACACCAGACAAGTATAGCACGGGAGGCATCCAGCATCATCCTATGAACTGCCGAGAAAGCCCCCGTCACGGCAATTCCTGCAATGTTTAAAGTTCCACAGGCAACAAGCTGGATTGCGAGCACATAAAGCAATGCACGGCTGTTTGCAAGCAGAACAAACGTGTCCACCATGTCTTCAGCATGCCCATGATCTCGTCCCGGAAGCAGCCATAGCACTGGAAAAACCACCACTGCCATCATAAGCACACCCCACAAGCCTTCATAACCGATGATTTCTACTGCGGTGAGGTCAATATCTTTCAACAAATATTCCTCTGAGACCACCTGGGCAGCTTGAAACAACTGCCCCAATAATGTCAGCGCAACTCCGAATGCAACAGAGGACTCGTACTGAGTGGCTACTTTGCTGCTAAGCTCGTTCTCCACACTGGCGTACCCAACTGCTGCAACGCCTGTGATGCACAGCAGAAGACCGATCCAGTGGAAAAGATACAGCTTGCGCTTCAATACCAGTACCGACAAGATCCCGGTGAAAAACAGGATCACACCTTTCACCATTTGCCAAACACTGGCTGGCATCTCCAACATACCGATGCATCCCAAGCCCGTAGCCAACACTTCACCAATGGCTGGGACAGCCACCAGCAAAATCTTTTTCCGTCGGCTTGCCGCGGGTTCTGGTTTCAGGAGCAAGGGATTCTCCAGGTTCTCAAGGTGCCGGAGAGAAGGACAAGTAAGGGCTCGCCGTGAGACTATGCGCTCCACCCCCATGACCAGTGACCTAGGATTCCCAGTAACCTAGGACTACAAAGTTCCCCCTTCTTGGATTATAGCTTAGTTTCATAAAGAACAAAGGACATACTCAACGCCCCAGCGACATCCCCACGAGCATGTTAGAGGTTCCGAACCAGGGCTTCCGGAAGACCTCCCGGCTGCCATCAAGGCCCACACTTGTTAACCCAAATTGCACCTTGCAGGGTAATTTAGGGTGTAGGGGTTAGGGTTTAGGGGAATAACCCAACTTGAGCCCATTGTGGTACTATGCCCTATACAAACCAGCATTTAGGGTGAGGGTCGGGTGAGGTCTTTTTAAATTGCCCAGGCCTTTGTGGCCAGGATGTTCACCGTACCAGCCAGAAGCATTCCTGTGACGTAGATTGCCACCAACCAAGATGGTTCCTTCATGCGGCCGGCCATTGCGGCTTGTCCAACAGTTCCTTCATGAGATTAATTTTCTGGTGCTCATACCACAGCTTTACAAGTGGTTCTGACATGCATTTGCATCCTAAAGCTCCACGCCATTAAACATGAAGGTTTTGGTCTTTGGAATGTTAGGATAGCCCGCGCAATGCTAGTTTTCATTAAACAACTCTTACATAAGCATTTCTCATAGCAACACCTATAGAGCAGGACAGATCCCTGTGATCTCCGTACAATTCTTCCCCCTCTATACCTACTTGGAAGGTTAAAGGGGCTTAGTAAGTATACTTACAACCCCTACAAGAACTCCAGATACATTAATTATTAGCCTACTTGCTTAGGTTTCTGGACCCCCGCCCCCCCCCAAGTTTCCTCCGGATGTGCCCATGTAGAAACAACCTCCTTCAGCCACGAGTCCTTGGAGCAAGCTGCGCAGTTGGACTCATTCAACAGGCCTCGAGCCTCCTAAGCTGCGCCCGTCTTTCCCAACTTTGGGGGAAACCATAAATGCGGTAGGCATTAGGAAGGGAAGTGCCAGGATACTCTGAGGCTCCAGGTCTTGGTGCATGATGTGCCTGTTACAAGTCGCTATTGAAATCTGAATGACTAGCCAGGGACTTTGGGGGCGTGCTATCCCATAGCATAAGTGCATTTCAAAGGTTCCCGAAGAAACAAGAGTGCCTGATTTTGGCTAGCAATGGCATCTGCTGCAACAAGGAAATCGCTTAAGACACTCGCTGCGAAAGCTGGCCCCTCCTAAACCCCTATAAGCCCAAAACCTCGAACATCTAAAAGCATTCATCCCAAAGGGTCCTAAGTACCCATATGGGGAATACTTACCCAAACCATAAGGGAAATTACTACTACAGAAACCATACTTTGTACCATATATTGCTTTGGACCCTTTGGGAGTGACTCCTGAAGAGGCCGGGTGCGCAGCCTGCAGGAAGGCTTCAGCATTCGGCTCGAGGACGACCTATGCAGCGCACATGTAGAGGCCTCTTTTGATTGAAATTGGGCTTTCGGGGTCTAGGTTTCAAGTACGGATTTCCAGCACATCTACGATGTTTGTTCGGGTTCAGGGTTTCAGGAATTTAGCGTCTCGGATTTGAGGTGTTAGGGTATGAAAAATGGCACTGTCTCAGCTTGGAGCCATAAAATCCTAACATGACCTTTTGCCCTTTTGTGGGCAGATCCTAAACGGCCTCTCAGTAAGCATAAAAAGATTCCAAGGCTTAGCTTCTGGCCAGTACACCAAACCCCCAAACCCTTAACCCTGAATCTACCACATATCAATTAAGGTTCGAAGGGCGATGCCTGGACACTCCTGGACACTCCTGGACACAAAGCACTGGAATCTACTTCTGGGGTTGAGGTTCTGATTTTTTAAACAAAACCATATACAGTGATTATATTAGGGTCCTCTTATATTCCTATAATACCACTATTACAGGCTGGGGGGTCCTCCTAACATATACCCTACCCCTTGTCGTTGTTTTAGCGTACCGAATCTCGTAGGTTGAAGACACTAGACGTAAAACTAGGGGGTGGGGTATAGGGATCTAGGCAAGCTTAAAACCCTAAACCCTTAACCCAAATCCTAAACCCTAAACCCCAAATCCCAAACCCTAAACCCTAAACCCTAGACCCCAGATCCTCAAACCCTAAAACCTAAACCCCAAATCCTAAAACCTAAACCCTAAACCCAAGGTAGGGAACTCAAAGGCCAAAAGCGGTTTCAGAGCCCAAAACACTTCTCACATCCCAACTTAAACCTGTAAATTTCTATATCATCCCTATATAACACCAAGCCAAAATCCCAACAAAACTAAACCCTAAACCCCAAACCCTGAACCCTAAACACGATAATCCCTATATAATCCTTATGTAGCACCAAGCTAAAAAATTGTCTTCCAAGCCCAGAGTGGGGCGCCTCACCCGGTTTGCAGCCGAGGCGGGCTGCTATGGCAAACCTGGAAAACTGCAAGGACAGTGGAAAGTCATGTAGACCCCAGATTAATAAATCCCCTCCTTTTAAGGGCCTCAAAAAAAAGGATCCCTACTATCCAGGGGAGGGGGTCTATTAATCAGGGGTCTAGGTTAGTGCCAAGTAGGCCTAAACCCCAAACCCAGTTAGCGTTCAGTAAACGTGGAGCCTGCGGTGGTTTGTGCAATGTGCATCTAGCACTGGGACACGGGGTAGCCTATGCCACAACTATATGGGGATAGTGCAACAGTAGGTTATGCTGCAGTAATGCTTTGCTGTTGCCGCTGCTGCTATTGGTTGCTGGTACTGCTGCTACGGCTCTTGAGTGTTCACCTCACCCCCTTTCCGCAGCCTTGCTATAAGAGAGCATTCTGCCCTTTGCCGACCCCATTCGACCTACGATGACTTCGACATCCAGATCCTGTGCAAAGCCCCGGAAAGAACTCCTCAGAAAGCCGTACAAACTCCCAACATGTAGTGGTTCCTCCAACTTGAGTAGTGTTTTTTGGTGGTTAAACCTAGTGAGATAATCTATCTTATATAGTATACTATACCCCAAAAGGAGGATATAGTCTTACTCTATAATTGCTACCATAATATCCCCAAACTAAATACTACCCACTTGTAGATTCAGGGTTCCTAAGCTCCCTCGGTGCAAAAATCTCTGAATCTCACGTTGAGAACCCAAAGCGTCCAAAGTACCTATATGGTACAAAGTATGGTTTCTGTAGTGATAATTTCCCTTATGGTTTGGGTAAGTATTCCCCATTAATATGGGTACTTAGGACCCTTTGGGGAAGTGCTCTGCTGGAGTCCGAGTCTGGGGCATTTTCCTCTTGCTGTCCGCAGCACCTCCGTCCTTGCACATCGGCCGCGGATTTCTACACCTCCATAAGCCCTAAACCCTCTCGCAACCCTAAACCTCTACCAAAAGACTTAACCTCGCACACCCTAACCCCCCAATTCCTGAAATAGTAGTTTCCATTTTATTTTCCACTATCCCAATATAACCCCAGTATAACCCTAATATAACCCTTATATAACCCTAATATAACCATATATATAAGCCAAATATAGCCCTAATATAACCCTAATGCTCATCAACCTTATGTAAATGCATCTCCTAGATGCCCCCCCAGGGCTTGGAGCATCGGGTAGTTGTTGCAGGCTTCAGGACTTCAGGGTTCAGAAGCTTGGTTCTCGCATGCGAGTCATTTTTTGCGCTGTGGTGACGACATCGTGGCAATGGTGGTGGCGTTGGTGATGGCAGCAGGGGAACCTCCAAAAATACCCTAAACTCTTTTGCCCACACCCCTGCATTCTATGTTGACATAGGTGGCCCCCGCGCGGGCTTCAGAGTTACAGCTGGGCAGGCTTACGAGTTACAGCCAAAGCTCCTAGTCTCTTGCCTTGGGGTCTAGGGTTGCCCGGCTAATTCCTAGACAAACTCCAGCACTCTGCATCCTAAACCCTGAGCACTAAATCTCAAACCCCAAGCTCTGCACCCCAACCAACCTTTGAACCCCTGGACCCTGAACTAAAACTTCCACTTTATTGTTGTGATTAGGCTTATAATAGCTTATAAATTTTTCAAGCTCATATAGCCCAAAACCCTAAGCCCTATAGGAACTCTAACCTCTTGAGAGTGAGGAAGTCTGGAGGATGCTCAGGAGGGGGCCACTCGCTTTCGCAAGTCCTTGCCGGAGTTGTACGCTGTGGTGTAATGTAGACCCCATCGAGAAGTGTACCAAGTTTTAGGGTTCAGGGTTTAGGGGTTTAGGGTTTAACCCCCTCCCCTTAGTAGAGATTTTTAAGAGGGATCCTGATATTACGGCGCTTAAAAGGAGAGCGTTCATTAATCATGGCGCTACATTATGGTTGAAAGCTAGCTGATGGAAGTTTAGGGTTACATATGATTACGGCACTTTGTGGCAACCTGTGGTTGACCTCTTGCAGAGGGCTCAACTGTGGTGATCTGTGTGGACAATTGCAAAGAACATGGAAACTATTCTAATATATTAGGCTAGAAATTGGGGTTAATCATATAGGGATAATGGAAAATGAAATGGAAACTATTATAGTGGGGTTATTTATGTGGATACGCAAGCGTTTTACCTCACTCCAGGGTCGCTCCCAGCAGGGGTCTAGGCGTGTACGCCCATGCGAGGGGCCCTCATTTGCCTCCAAACTACTCGAGCTCCTGCTGTAGGGCCCTAAGCCGTAAACCCTACGCTAAACCCTAAACCCTAACCTCGATTAAACCCTAAACCCTAAACCCCAAATCCTAAACCCTACACCCTAACCTCAATTCAACCCTAGACCCTAAACCCTCTTTTGGCATATCCCCCTCATCTCATGATCTGGCCTCAGTTCGTGAGGTTTGTCTGGGCTGTGCAAGGACAGATTGAGTATGGGGAGCTTTTGTGGTGCGGGGCTGCGGGTTTAGAGATTAAGGGTTTAGGCTTCAGTGACTGAAGTCTAGCTTTTAGGGATGAAACAGAATTGGGATAGTCTATCTGTCTCCAATTTCAACATGCCCTAGCCCACAACTTCCTTAGGCCCCATCCTGCTAAACTCTGTGAATGTTACGGTGGACCAAGTGCGAGGGATGGGGCGTTTTCGTGTCAATACCACACAACAGGAAAACAATATGTTCTGGCAGTAGGGACAACTAAGGCACCAAACTCTGAAATCAGGAACGAACGATGATCATCCACCTCAGGGACTTGAGAAACACGCGTTTGAACCGTTGGTCCTTCACTTTTCGTGCCCAAGATGACACATGTACTATAGGGGCCTAAATAATTACAAATATCATTTTGAGGTTCGTTTGAGGTACCATATACTAAAAATGTACAAGAAATACGGAACCTTTTATTGGTAATCATTTAGGCCCCTATAGTACTGCCAACGAATTAAGTCATCATCTCGGAGCGCAGTTGAAAAGCCTTGCTGCACGTGCTGATGGCTGCCTAACACATGGAGTCCTTGCAGAGAGAGAGTGAAAGGT